CAATGGTCGGATTTAATGGAACCCCGACGTGGCTACTAAGGACCACAGACTTAGAGGTTCAAGCAGGAACTAGGACAGTAACCACAGAATTTACCGTAATAGACATACCCTCCCCATACAACATTATATTAGGAAGACCTTGCCTGCACGCTATAAGGGTTATTCCCTCAACACTACACCAATTACTGCAGTTCCCAACAGAGTTCGGGGTTGAGGAAGTGAGAGGAGATCAAGTGACGGCAAAAAATTGCTCCACAGCAACAATGAAGTACACATGCGCTATTAGAGAAGTAGAAACGACAGAGGTAGAAGATGAAGACCAAAAGGTCTTGAACGATGTTGGCAAAGAGCCTGCTGACAAGAGTCAGGAACCCTTGAAAATGGCTTTGGTACAGGCAGGGGACGAAGAACGATTCTTCCTCCTCAAATCAGGCTTGGTTGAGGAAGAAGAAAGAAAATTGGCAGTTTTCTTAAGAGAGAACATAGACGTGTTCGTCTGGACACCCTACTAGATGTCGAGGATTAACCTCGAGGTCACCTGCTACAAGCTCAATGTGGACAGGTTGGCCAAACCAGTGGTCCAGAGAGCTAGGCAATCTACTTTGGACTACGTATAAGCAATTGAAGAGGAAGTAGAGAAACTGCTAGAGGCCCAGACAATTCGAGAAGTAAACTACCCAACATAGTTGTCCAACACAGTGGTAGTAAAGAAGAAGAATGACAAATGGAGAGTTTGTGTAGTCTTCACAAGTTTGAATAAAGCTTGTCCGAAAGACTGCTTCTCTTTGTCAAAGATAGACCAGCTTATAGATGCCACATCTGGCCATGGAAAGAATGAGTTTCCTCGATGCATACCAAGACTATCATCAAATAGCCATGTACGCTCTAGACGAAGAGAAGACAACATTTAAAAAAAAAACTAAAAATATTACTACCAAAAAACTAACTATTCTATTTATTTTTTGCACTTCTTTTTTGAAAAAAAATTAAAAAATCAACTAAAGTAGTTACTTTTCAAAACAACCATAAATTAGTCAAAAATTTAAAATTACTAAAAAAATTTAAAAACTATTAAAGATGTCGAAAAAATTAAAAATCATATAAAAAATTCAAAAATTCCTTCCATATTATCTTTTCTTTTTGCACATTTTTCTTAAAAAACTAAAAAATATTCACCAACACTACAATTTTTATCATATATTTTAGCTAAACGCCTCTGAAAAATCCATTTCCCAAGCCAACCCTAAGTTAAGAATTCTAATTTTAATTGTTATGCCAAATAGTTCAACAATAAGATTTTTTGAAAAAATTGCAAATCAGCGGCAAAATAAAAAAATATTAAGTTGTGACTTATTGTAATTATTATTTTGATAGGATTAAAAAGATCTTTAATTATACTTAAGTAATATTTAGTTATATCTTATTATGTTTTATATAATTATAACTTAAAAGTAATTTAATTATAATATTTGTGACCCATAATAATATATTATTATATAGACCACTATACTTACGCTATAGTTATTAAATTGTTATGAAATAAATAATTACATTTTACAATTGAATTTTATAATCCTATATGTACTTTTATTATGGACTAATGATGTTTTGTATCACTACTAATTAAGAGCATTTATAATGAAATAGCTAAAAAAATATGTTAAAATGTGTTATATAACAAAAAGTGATAAAAGTGAGACCAAAAAATGTATTAAAGTATGTTAAGAATTTATTAATTTTAAAAAGTGAGTGGTGATGTAATAAATATATTAAAGTGTGTTAAGAATATATATAAACAATAAATAAATAAATAAATAAATAAATAAATAAATAATTTAAAAATGTAGTGGGCCACCCTACTGCACTGTCTTGGTGCCCATCCGCCCACCTTCTGTCTATCTCTTTCTTCTGTTGAGTTCACTAAGATGATAGCTACAATTAACACACTATTGTCTAATACTAACCCACACCACTAGTGCATAGTTTAACAGTTCGCATAAAATGCACATAAGCCCACTAACTAACAATGTGTTTAACATGTGCATTATGGATGCTCTAACAATGTGTTATCACCGTTAGACGACTTCACTTGTATTGACTCATTTTAGTAGTCTATTATTATAAACTTACCTAATTACGAAAAGACCTACTACTGTTTTTATATTATTTTATGGACAAATTACGAAGGTAGTTCCTATATTTGGTTCTTTTGTCATTTAGTCATTATAATTTTAATAGGTTCGATTTTGACTTTAAATTTATAATTTTATCTCAAATTGATCCAATTGGTCACAACTCTTAACATTTTTTTTTCTTTTATGAAAAATATGCACATAAGTATTATGTGTCATATGTCAAATTTTTAAAAGTAAAATTATAACTTACCAAATTTAGTAAGTTAACCCCAATCAATTTAGTAATAATTTTTTTTAAAAAAAAATATACAAACGATATTATCAATTGAATCAAACTGATGCAAAATTTAAAATTAAAAGTTAAAATTGAATTAATTAAAAATATAGAGATCAAAATGACACAAAAAGTAAAATGTAACAACCAATAATATAATTAGTCCAAATTTTATTTATTATCATTATTTAAATTGGGGGGACCCACTAATATAATTAATCCAAATTTTATTTATTATCATTCTTTAAAGTGGTTGGTGGGTGGGGGAAACCACTAATATACTTATAATTATTCCAAATTTTATTTATTATCATTGTTTAAAGTGGGGGAACCACTAATATAATTAGTCTAAATTTTATTTATTTTCATTATCCCACTAATATAATTAGTCCAAATTCTATTTATTATCATTATTTAAAGTGACTGGTGGGTGGGTGGGGAACCCACTAATATAATTAGTCCAAATTTTATTAATGATTCATTTGATATTCTATTTTGTGGATCCCATCTCATGTCTATCATCTTGCAAGCATAGTAGTAAAATAAGTTGCGTAAAAAGTTAATTTTATCAGATATTATTATATACATAAACAAATTACAAATTATTTTTTAAAAATGGATGAGAACTATGAGTTTAAATTTAAATTATTATTTTATAAAATAAAATTTATTATTTTATTTATTTGTCAATACCCAATAAAATTAATTTTTTATACAAATTATTTTAACTATAAAATTTATGAGATAAACGGTTCAAATAAAATTTATGAGCCATGGGACTTGCGAAATAAAACATGAAATACTACGAAGGGTTGTGATATGAGCCATCATATAATGTCCAAATTCCATTTGTTTGAAGTTTCTATATTTTGTGCATTAATTGAAGAGAATAGTAATAAAAAAAATTAAATTAAATTAAAAATTAAAAGCCACTAAAAAAAATTATAAAATTATATAAAAAGTCAAAAATTCCTTCTATTCTCTTTATTTTTTGTGTATTTTTTTTTTAAAAAGTTAAAAAGTTATTCTCAAATACTTTAATTTTTTTCACCTCATATTAACTAAAAAACCACTAAAAAAGTCACCTCTCCCAAACTAATTCTAAAGTTAAGAGTTCTATTTTCAATTGTTATGCCAGATAGTTCAACAACGAAAAAAATTTAAAAGAATTACATATCAGTGAAATAGTAAAAAAATATTAAGTTGTAATTTAATTATAATTCATTGTAATGTTTATAACTACGTATTGGAATTATTATTTTAATTGTAATAAAAAAATAAATGTTAATTCCACCTTATGTAGTGCTTATAACTTATTATGTTTTTCTTAAAAGTGATTTAATTATAATATTTGTTACCCGTAATAATTTACTATACTGTTATATAGACCACAATGTATACGCTATGGCCATGTTTGTTTGGGTGGACTGGATTAGCATTCCCATGACTAACAATCTTGGGATTACGAATCTGTTGGATTATGTATCCTATCTTTACTAAAAGTCAAGTTTAAAATAATTAGTCCGTACTTCAATTGTTTAACCAAACATCGAATTAATAATTTTATTGGACTATTAGTCCAATCCCAAGCTCATGTCCACCCAAACAAACATGACCTATAGTTATTAAATTATTATGGAACAAATAACTACATTTTAAAAGTGCGCTTTATAATCTTATATATACTTTTATTATTGACCAATGATGTTTTGTGTCACTAATAACGTGTTATTATCGTTAAAGTGACTTGAGTGTAAGTTTTCAAAAGAAATTGTAAATCAGTGATTTATCAATTTTAATAATTAAAGTTATAAATTTTTTTGATGAATTTATAAATATTTTATAAAAATATCACTGATTTGTAATTTTTTTTATCTTAAAAAAATTTACTTTTGTTTCTTTAGATTTTATATATTGATTTATTTATTATATTTTTAAAAATTAAAAAAAAAATTAATATTTATTTTTATCAAACTAATTTCTATTTAAAAAAAAAATTTGAGAAAATATTTTAAAAAAATTAAACCAAACTGTTATTTATGCATAATGATATCTTTCAAAATTATCAACCCTACAAACAAATATACCAACAATAAAAGACTTCTCAAAAAAACAATAAAAGACAAAAATAACGTTACACATAAACAAAATTTAGGTTTGAAGCGGATATACATCAAAAGTTACGATTACTATCTAATTTTTTTTTATTATTTTTATGAATGATATAACAAGAGTTTATATCATGGAACATATATGGGGTAGGCCCATGCATCACTCAAATTTTCTGAAAGTCTCATCCCCCTTTAATTTTTCCTCTATGATTAAAAGTTTTCCAACTTGTAAGAAATAAACTACATTAATGTTGTGTTTAGTTGGGAGATTTGAGGAGGGATTTGGAATGTATTTAGTTGGGAGATTTGAGGAGGGATTTGGAAAGGGAAAGGGAAAGGGAAAAGGTGTGTGAAACTAGGTGAAACATTTCACTTAATTTTTCCATTTCTCTTTCCAAATCGCTTCTCAAATCCCTTAACCAAACACGGCGTAAATAATCCTGTGTGTGGATCATCTGTTGGTTGATCTCTCTGTATAAATCTTGCCATATTTGTTATGTTCTTATAAGCAAACAAACACTTGGCAACTGTTAAGGTTTGCATGATCATTCCATTCATTCACTATGAATAGATCAATGTTCCTAATTGGGTTTCTCACCATAGCAGCCATTGATTTTAGTTCCTGCAATGGAAACCATTATGCTGTGATGTGCCGGGAGGGCGAGAAACGAGTTCTTTTAAAGTTCAAGAAAGATGTAGACGATCCTTCAAACCGTCTCTCTTCTTGGGGGGAAGTGGTCGGAGATGATTGCTGTAGGTGGGAAGGAGTTGTTTGCGACAACTTCACTGGCCATGTCATTGAACTCAGCCTTGGATATTCTGATAAGTGGAGGGGGTTGAGTGGTAATATAAATCCTTGTTTGCAAACATTGAAGCATCTCAGGTACTTGGATCTGAGTGGAAATGATTTCACAGGTTTACCATTCCCATCATTCATTGCTTCTATGACACAACTGCGATATATAGACTTGTCTAATACAGGATTTGTGGGAACAATTCCTCATGAGCTTGGAAATCTGTCGAGTTTACGCTCTCTAAGCCTCAAAACTCATTATTATGGCCTGATGAACATCAAGAACCTGGAGTGGCTTGCTCGTCTTTCCTACTTGGAACATCTTGACTTAAGTGGCGTGATCATTGCCAAGGAACTCAACTGGCTACAGGTAATTAACAACCTTCCTTTCTTGGTAGAGTTACACTTGCTTAGATGTGAACTTGATCACTTTCCCCCTCTTCTCAGTGCTATTAATTTTACATCTCTTGCGGTCCTAGATCTCTCCGGTAACTATTTTAGCTCTCTCATACCTGGGTGGATCTTTAGCCTAGGTAGCCTTGTTTCTCTTCATCTAAGCGATTGCAATTTTATGGGCCAAATGCCTGAAGGTTCTTGGAACTTGACTTCTCTTCAGACACTTGATGTTTCTCATAATTACAAACTCGATTCTACTTTACCGAATTCATTGTTTAGTACTACAAATAGCCTCGTCCGTCTTAGCCTTGCACACAGTGGATTTCATGGTCCACTTCCTACACTAGTCCCGAACATGACCAATTTGTCTCATCTTGATCTATCTTCAAATAATCTTGATTCTACCATACCTAGTTGGTTGTATAGCTTTAGTCATCTTGAGTTCCTCGACTTGGCCTACAATAGGTTGGAAGGTGGAATATCGAACGAGATTGGGAACCTAACTTCTGCCATCTTCCTCAACCTATCACAAAACAACCTCGAGGGAAGTCTACCGAATTCCATTGGAAACCTAGTTTCTCTACACAGCCTCGACCTATCCTATAATGGACTTGAGGAAAGCCTACCGAGATCGTTAGGAAATCTTTGCAACTTGATAAGTATTGATCTGTCACATAACAAATTTAGCGGAGAATTATTCACTCTCTCGTCTAAATGCACTGCAATACATGCTTTGGAGCATATGCGCCTAGATGATAATCAACTTTCCGGTCATATTCCTGATCAAATTGGACAATTTGAAAATTTGTCTTCTCTTTTGCTCAGTGGTAATTTGCTTTATGGTCCTATTCCGGAAACTCTAGGAAGATTGACTTCCTTATATGAATTGTCATTGGAGGAAAATCAATTAAATGGAACTCTTCCACAAAGTCTTGGACACCTTTCAAAGTTACAACAACTTGATGTGTCTAATAATTTGTTGCATGGCACTGTATCAGACGTTCACTTCACAAATCTTGCAAATCTGAAGGAATTTCATGCTTCTGGAAATCGGTTGACTTTAAAAGTGAGTCCTGACTGGATCCCTCCCTTTCAACTTTTAGAAATAGAACTTGGATCATGGCATTTAGGTCCAAAGTTTCCTATATGGCTCCAATCACAAAAGAATCTTGAGACTATTGATTTATCCTACACTGGAATATCAGATGAGATTCCAACTTGGTTTTGGAACTCATCTTTCTCGGTAGGCAGGCTAAATCTCTCCCACAACCATATCCATGGCCAGATTTCATATATTCCTAGCAATATCAAAAGGGCTTTCTTAAGCTCCAACAATTTGAATGGTACATTACCCCGTGTTTCTTCGGACTTGATTGAGCTTGATCTTTCCAAAAATTCATTTTCTGGAGAGATCTCCCACTTGCTATGTGACAGGAAAAATGAAGCTAAATATCTGGCAGTTCTGCTACTCAAAGAAAACTTTTTATCCGGAGAAATTCCTAATTGCTGGATGGCTTGGCAATCAATGACAGTCATAGATATGGGAAACAACAATCTGACGGGAAACATCCCAAGCTCCATGGGGCATTTAGGCAGTCTGCAATCATTACACCTGCGAAACAACCATCTCTCTGGAGAAATTTCTTCATCTCTTCAAAACTGCACAAAATTAGTGGTGGTTGATCTCAGTGAGAATGAGTTTATTGGAAGCATACCGACGTGGATGGGGGAAAGGCTTTTGCATTTGATGGTTCTCATCCTCAGGTCAAATAAGTTAGATGGTGTGATACCTCAAGCATTTTGTCGTATCTCATCTCTTACAATCTTGGATCTTGCAAACAACAATTTGTCCGGAGCAATGCCATGGTGCATCAACAATATCACTGCCATGACAATGAAGCGAAACTTCAGTGGTGATGCTACCTATCAAGTTTCATGTAGGATAAACAATAATAAAGCTATATGTGACTACATAGATTTCTTGGAGAATGCATATTTGGTGACAAAAGGAAGCAACAATCGATATGACAAGATTCTTACTCTTGTGACTAGCATAGACTTTTCAAACAACAATATATCTGGCAATATTCCTGAGGATCTAACTAGTCTACTGGGACTGCTTTCATTGAATCTGTCCGGAAATCATTTAATCGGTGAGATTCCAAAGAAGATAGGTGACATGGGGTCGTTGGAATCTCTTGATTTATCCAGAAACCAACTTGGTGGTGAAATTCCTCCAAGTATGTCAGGTTTGACTTTTTTGAGCTACTTGAATTTGTCTTACAATAACTTGTCAGGTAAAATTCCATTGAGTACCCAACTCCAAAGCTTCAATGCTTCTAGTTTTATCGGCAACAGGCTTTGTGGACTACCACTTACAAAGAAGTGCAGTGTTGATGATGTGAGAAATGTAGTTCATAATGAAGGTGTTGGATCTGAAGTGGATTGGTTTTATTTGTCGATGGCTTTTGGATTTGCTGCAGGTTTTTGGGGTGTATGTATTCCTATATTGTTGATTAAGTCATGGAGATATGCCTATTTCCGATTTTTGAATAATGTTTGGACAAGACTCTATGTTTATATACAGGTAAATTCCATTATGTTTAAATTTCTCATGATTACATAATAGAAGCTTACCTATGGTACCAAAACTTCTTGTCAATATGATTCAATAATGTTCTCAATTTTAGCCATCTTCCTTTAAAGTATTAACAAAAAGTTCAGATTTCTCCAAAGATGGAAGGTTTGACTTTTTTGAGCTACTTGAATTTTTCTTATATTAACTTGTAGGTAAAATTTCATTGAGCACTCAACTCCAAAGCTTCAATGCTTCTAGTTTTCTTGCCAATAAGCTTTGTGGACTTCCACTTACAAAGAATTGCAATGTTGATGGCGAAACACCTAATGTGGGAAAGGAAAGAGATAATGAAGGTGCTGGATCTGAAGTGGATTGGTTTTATTTGTCTATGGCTTTTGGATTTGCGGTAGGTTTTTGGGGCATCTCTATTCCTATATTGTTCATTAAGTTATGGAGATATGCCTGTTTTTGATTTCTGGATAATGCCTGGACAATACTTTATGTTTATATACAGATAAATGTGATGAGATTTTAAAAGTCATGTGGAAGTCTCCTACTTGTGTCTCCTTAATACTATAAATAAATGTATCTTTCGTGTGATAAATTCTGTTATGTTTAAATTTCTCATGATTATATAATATATGCTTACCTATCGTGCCAAAAGTTTGTCAATATGATTCAATAATGTTCTCTATTTTAGCCATCTTATTTTAAGTAAGACTAAATTATACTGATAGTCCTTATATTTTAATTATTGTGTCATTTTGGTCATTGTAATTCTAATTGGCTCAATTTTAGTTTTAAATTTATGAATTTATCTTAATTTGGTCCAATTGATTAGAATTATTAATATTTTCTTATGAAAAAACTCAAATAAGTGGCATGTGACATACTTTTAAGAGTGAAATTATAAATTTTCCCAACTTAGTAGGTTAACATCAACCAGCTCAACAATCATTTTTCGTCAAAAATCCTAACGACTTTATCAATTGGATCATATTGACACAAAATCTAAAATTAAGAGTCAAAATTAAGTCAACTGAAAGTATAGAAACCAAAATAATACAATGAATAAAATGTAGAGACTACCAATATAATTTACCTATTAAATTACTAACAAACTGTTCAAATATCCCTTAGTAAGTAAATTACAACCTAAGTGCTTCATAGTTGGCAACTTGGCAAGTATGGCATGTCCAATATGTATTATTATATAATATAAGTAAAAATATTGTAATCTTTTTTAGACTGAAAATCTCAATTTATTTTTCTTATATTTTTTGAATTTTATATCACTTAAAATACATATATCATTTTGTGATTAGTCCAAAATCTAATTTACATAAATTAAGTTAATTTTTATAGGGCATTCCGTCCAACAGTCCAAATTAAAATTTCTTTTGTTCAAAGGTCGTGCATTTAAATATCATGTCCATAAGGACATACTTTTATAAAAGGACCAAATTACCCTTTTTATAATCACGCGCCTATGGGTTTTTTTTTTTTTTTTTTTTTTTTTTTTTTTTTTCTATTTTATAAAAATGTTTAAGAGCTCTAAATTCTGAGCTCTAAGGGAGCTCTAACAAGTGGGCCTCACCTACTAATGTGATGTTTTGACTTTTTTCTTTTATTTTCTTAATGAATTGGCTTTAAACCTCATTTCTAGAACTCTCTATTATTGTTTTTTTTATTTGATTTCACGTCTTTTATCTGTTCAAAATAAACCATCTAGTACTCTCTCTCTAAAACCCCCAAATCACCCACATCCTGTACTCTCTCTGTCTCTAAAGTCCCTATTTCTCTCTCTCTCTCTCTCTCTCTCTTCGTGACTGTAGTGGCCATCGACTACAAGGAAGTGACGGCGAGTTCAATAGCCCATCGTCGGTGAGTTCAAGTCTCGAGGTCTGAGCTTTGGCATGGCTGTCGAAGGAACCCTAGTTTTCAGCTAGCAAGATCTTTCTCTCTATCACAAGCCAAGCTGGTGATGGCAGATATCGTCTGATCGATGATGTCGGCGAGCAAGAGGAGTTGGATTCGGTGGCAGTGGCATCGCCGGAATTTGAACAAATAGATGTAAATTTAAACAGATAAAAATATTGGACAAATAAATATGAATTTGAACAAATAATCAACAAAAAGTCAAATAGATTAAAAATAAAATCCAAGGGTAAAATTAGAAACAAAATATCTTCTAAAACTTCTCACCAGATTACTTCACAAAGTGTAGATTTCTCACCAATAAAATATATTTACTGGACCTTATGCCTTACGTCCTCATTAGATTAGATTTATCACTAATTTTCTCATTTTTATATCTTTTAATCATTACCAATATTTATTTCCTTAAATTTTGTGATTTCAAAACATGCAATGACATTATTACTATTTTAGTTTCAATGGTTATGGTATGAAATCTATATCTATATTTATCTTTCTATCTATACTGTTATATAGATAAAAATGTTGTTGGGTTTCTAATCTCAATATTTTATAATTTTAAATTAATAAAATATAAAACACACGTATCATAAAATCATTGATCATTTCACTTTAATTATAATTATTGACATTTTAATTATTATGATAATATATTTTAAATTCTGTAATTATCACTTTTTTTTAGATGGTACAATTATTGTGATGACCCAATTTTTTTTTTAAAATAAAAAATTAGTCAGTGCATAAATTAATTGAACAATATTTGGATTGAACTGCTGCGTAAAATTCTATACGAAAATAGTCCGGTTTTATTTTTTTTTTTAAAAAGTTCCCAATCTCAGAAAATTATAAAATTTTTATATGTTGTTCAGATATGAGTCTATCACGTTGGGTAAACATTTCAGAATTAATCGATGAGTATTTATTTTATGAAAATTCGGGGACTGATCGATGTTCGGTCTAGTGTACAACAAAATTTGATATATAATTGGGTGATGTTTGGTATATGAGAGAGAATTTAATTCAAGACGCATTACTTGGATTTAATTTAATTTGAATTTATTTAATTACTCATGTTTAACTATTTGGTCTTTTTTAATTATGTGATTGGTATTGATCACCATGGGAGTTGTTATTATTTATTATATATGATTATAGTATATATTTGAAAGTTGAATTTATGGTGTATGTCGAACGGTGCGAAATTATATATTTTTGTAGTGAAAGAAAATGAGTATATATTTTGTAGTGAGCAAAATATTATGTTGTGAGAAAAAAAAATTATCATTTTATAATTTATGTTACAAAATTTTAAAGGTATTATTGTCATATATTTTGTATTAATTTGTATGATGTGTAAGTTGATGAGCATCTATAGGGAAGTGAACCCACATGGGGGTTGTCCCCCACGCCCCTTCCCATCAGACTTCTTCCTTTCTTTTTTTATTTTATTTTATTTTTTGGTTAAAGGAAAATCCTCTCATTCTCCCGCAAGTCCAAGACAGCGTCCCTTACAGAGATCACCAAGGTGTCCTGTTATCCGTTCAAAGTAAAGATATTATAACCTAGGAACTTGCCCCGACCTTCCAAGACAAACTCCACTTAAGTTAGGACTTGCGCAGCGAGGGAGCATTGGGCCTATACCAAGTGCTGTGGTAGCAACAACTTAAAGCTAACCTTCTAACCAACTGCGCTATGCTTAGGAGATTGGCCCAAGGGGTTTCGAACTTGAGACCTAGGGTCTTAACCCCTAGGCCTTTACCAAGTTGTCAAACACCCTTGGGTTACTTCTTCCTTTCACTTCATTTCTTTCTCTATTTCTTTTCCTTTGCTTTCTTTTGAGCAAAGCGCTCTCTCTCTCTCTCTCTCTCTCTCTCTCTCTCTCTCTCTCTCGCCTCTATTGTTAGTTTAACATTTGAGCTTCAAATGAGAGTCTTTAGAGTGAGATTTTGTAAAAACTTTGTAAATAAAAGTTAGAGAGCTCGTCGTGATCTTCGCAATGGTGGTCTCGGATTCTTGATCGAGCGAGCTTTGCATTTTCGAATTTGTATTTTTTCATATTTTGAGGTAGGGACTGTCTTCATATTATTACTTTAAAGTTATGTTAGGGATATTTTGAGAAAATATATCATTATAGGAGGTATTGCATTATATATTTCTCAGATTTTTGTTTGATTAATTTTTAGAAGAAAATTATGTTGAAATGTTAAGAATATTGTGGTATTTTGAACTTGATTTGGGAAAATCATCTTGTGCTGATAATTTTTGTTAAAAATCTGAAATTAAACTTTAATAGTTGTACGAGTTGTATCTACATCATATTATGATTAGAAAATTTATTTTGAGAAATATAGAGTTGAATTTTTTTTTTTCATCTTTGATTTTGAAATTTATTTTTAAGAAAAATAAATTAATGTTGATGAGTATTGTGTAAATTGTTAAGTCGGAATTATAACATTATTTTGGGATTAAAAACTCTAAAAGTGTTATATTCGTGATATTTTATGGAAGGTGATATGTTGATGATTAAGTTGTGTTCATTTTTGTGAAAATGAAAATGTAAAATGTGGACTTTCGAACTCACAACCTTGAAAATATTACTCTTGGGCATATTTCATAATTTTATATGTAAAAATCATGTTGAGTAGGTAATTTTAGAAAAAGTTGTGAAATTGTTATTGGTAGAGAATTTGGGAAAAAAATTAACTTTTTAAGTAGCTTGGCATGAAAATATGGTTATGTTGAAATATGGTTATGTTTGAGAGATGAGGTATGTGAAGTTATGTTTGGTATTATTAATTTGAATGTTTTTTTGAATATAATGAACTTACTAATTTGATGGATTAAATTAGTTTGGTTAATATTTTATATCCTTTATGATTAAAAGTGTGTTATTGAGATTATACCATAACTTTTAATAGAGTAGGGTGGGAATGGTAATATTCGATAAATATGAGATTTGGTGAAAATCATATTGGTTATCTTGGTTGAGGTGAAACAAAATTGATCGAAAGTTTTGTGTAAGTCAAAACAATTGGGAAATTGATTAATAGTTTTAATAATTGGTGTATGCTAATATGTTGTTTTTGAACATCAAATTCATATATGAGATATTTGAATTGTAAATTGAGGATTTGATTGGAAATCAGTTATGAAACTTTTGAAATGTCGAGTATTGGTTACTCCTTTGAAATGTTGAGTTTAAAGGAAAGTTATATAAGTCTTGAAAATTTGTTTTTAATAACTGTGGAATATGGATTGTTTCCAAATGTTAGGAATCATGAGAGAATTCCAAGTTATGGTTGCATGTTGGATTATATATCCATGTGTTATCCTTTTAATTCATACATTAGAGATAACTATTTTGGCTTTCGGTAGAGAATTACCATGTTTGTTTTTAATGAGGGATTTCTTAGAAGGATAAGAGATGTTGAAACTTTGAAAGTTTGATACATATAGTATGTTTTAGATTTGTCTTGAAATGACTAAATTGGAAATGTTGATTAACATGTGAAGACTATATGAATGTAGATATTGTTGTATTATCTCTTGGCATTGTATTATGATATTACATTGATAGAGATATGGAATTTGATCACAATGGAGCATTGTGTGGTGGAATTAAAATTGGAACCATTCTAATGCATTGTTACATATTGGATTACCATTTCATTTCATTATTATCATGAATTTTGAATTGCAATTGAAAACTATTGTTTTGTGAGAGGAATTGTTTTTCTAAAACAAGATTATTTTGATTTGTTTTGGGTAAATAGGTTGGTAAGTACAGGTAGGGGGTGTAATTTGATATTGGTTGAGTTGGCCTGAGTGTCCATTGTGAAAGATCGAAAACACGCGCGGATGAGGTACCATGTGCTTTCCGGTAAGAGACCGGTAAAATGGGGATTTGATAGTGCTCGATATGCCTACTTGCAGACACCAGCTTAGGGATTACATAAGTCGTATTTACCACCTTGAAGATATATTGAAATTGTTGGATTAATGTGTTTTCAAATTGGCATTGTGCACAAGATTTTCAAAAGATGTGAAAAATGTTTCAAGCATGACATGGTATATGCATTCATCTCATAAGACTATATAAAATGTATTTGATGCTTTGTTAGATGTCATTATGAATAGTTTAACTATTTGATTCAATTGACAATGGGGTAATTGAATAAATTGAAAAGAATGTCCTGTTGTTATTGAAATGTGTTTATTTATTTAAGTTAACTAATTGTGGTTAATTAAATAAATTAGATTTAAGAGATTATGTAATAAAATCATATGGTTTTGACGTGATATGATTTTACGTATATGTATGAGTATCTTTGTAGCCGCACATCTTCTAATGTTATAATATGAGATTGTTTGGCGAGCTAGTAGCTACCCATCCCCTACCTGTACATGTGTACAGGGAGTGTTTTCAGATTTGACGATCAAATAACTTGGCATGGTTATAAAGTGGTGATTAGCCATAGTGCTTTTTAATTGTTTCTTGGCTGAGTTCTATGCTTTGTAAAGGGCAACGCTCTCTTATTTATTGTAAGCCTCAGGACATTTCATTTATTTGTATGTAAATGTCTTTGTTGTATAACGAGAGAGAATATGTGTATTTAATTATTCATCATTTCATCAAAGGATGACTTGTCATTTGTAAATGGGCTTAATTAATGAATATTGATAATGTTATCCGAGTAATAAAATACGGGGCATGATAGTTATCATCTTTCAAATTCTTAAATGTATGATTCTCTTATAATATTGATATGGAAAATAAATCAAAATTTTAAATGATAAAAACAATTCAACACTACTTCATAATTTTAAATTAATAATAAAAAAATACTACTTTGGTTTATTTACGATAATAGTAAAAGATGGATCGATGTTAATTTTCAAATTTTATTAAGCAAAGTTTCATTTATTTGGTTCAAAGTTTACATTTAATTATTTTTTAAATTCTTCTATAATTTATTTATTTTTAAATCTAAGAAATATATTTAACATAAAATTAATGCTAGCCATATATCTAATTAGAAAATTTGAAAATCTTTTAAATGGAAAATCCAAAACATAATCCCCCATTTCATTTGAAGTTTGAAATTTTGGGATATTAAAAAAATAAAAAATGAAATTTAGTAATGCTATGGTGACCATATTTGATAGTATCTAATGTGACATTTT